CCAGACAGCCACAAAATCCTGCGTCCCTTACCCAAACTGCTTTTCGACGACACACCATGGATGCCACGGGAGAAGGGGGTTCTGCTTTCCCATTCCATGATCTCACGGGAAGTGGCCATTCGCTGTGGAATTCCCACCACGAGGCACCACATGTTGTCACGCCGGCAAATCCACAGCCTTTCCCAGTGGGCCACTGATTTTGGTGCCAAGGAGGACCTCACTACTCGGTTAGCCAACATCATCCGTGAGTACTCTGCTTCGCGGGATGTGCTGAAGGAGCTTCTGCAGAATGCGGACGATGCTGGCTCACATGTCGTACACTTCCTCTGGGACCAGCGCCACCACCCAGTGCATCGTGTCTTTGGTGACGAATGGGAAAATCTCCAGGGCCCCGCCCTCTGCATCTACAATGACCGGCCCTTTGAAATGTGTGACATAGAAGGGATTCAGCGTTTAGGCTCTGGTGGTAAAGGTGGGCGGCGGGATACTACTGGCAAGTACGGTCTGGGGTTCAACACAGTTTACCACTTGACTGACTGCCCTGCCTTTGTGACAGGAGACAGTGCCCTGTGCGTCTTTGACCCCACCTTACGGTACCTGCCTAATTCTGATGACATCTCTCCTGGAGGAATGTTCAACCTGACTAAAGATTTCAAAGACACCTTCCAAGATGTTTATGACAGCTTCTTGCCCAAAGTGTTTGATCTGCAGCATGGCACGGTTTTTCGATTGCCCTTGCGTACCCCTGCCGGGGCAGCAGTCTCCCCTATCTGCCAGCGTTCTGTGTCAGAGGAGGACATGCTAAGTATGTTGGAGGCTCTCAGAGAAGAGGCGGATTGCTTCATGATGTTCCTCAACCACGTTCACCGTGTGGTTTTCTCTGTGATCAAGGAGGAGCAAAAGATGCCAGTGGAAATTCTCTGTGTGGAGACTGTGGGTGGTGAGGCTGAAAGACTAGAATACCAGAAACAGTTCCACGAAGCAGCTGCAGCAGGTGGGAGGGATGTGGGTGAGCCAGTAAGAGTCTTTTACAGAATGAAGGTGAAGTGTAGTTTCTCCAAGACTTCCAGGGAATGGCTAGTTGGGAGACAGATAGGAGTAGACAGCGTGGACACCGTAAAAGGCGTACAGCTGCCGCATGGCGGTGTGGCTGCTTGTCTTGATGGGCAAGCACTAGGCAGGGCCTTCTGCACCCTGCCGTTGCCGGCGAAAACCGGCCTCCCTGTCCACATCAATGGGAACTTTGAAGTGGACTCTGCTCGGCGGGACTTGCGGAAGGATGACAACAAGGACAGCCCTGAGACGGCGTGGAATAGCTTTCTGCTGCAGAGCCTTATAGCCCCTTTGTATCTCCACCTACTTGAGGAGCTGCGGAAGGCACTGGGGAATTCACCGCTGCAGTCCTCCTCCCTGAATGCATGCCAAAAAATGTTAGATTCAAATTATTTGCGGCATTTCCCACTTGTGACAGGCGACGTCCCCCCGTTCTGGCATCAGCTAGTGATCCGTCTGTATGTGCTGGCATTTGAGAGACATATCCCACTGTTGCCGGTCTACCGAAAGGAGAGTAAGTCTACATGGGAGGTGGTGGTGAGTGTGTACTGGAGTGCACCACAACAGGGACACCCAACCAAAGATCCCTATTTCCTCAATTCTGAGATAAATGGTCCTCTTGAAGATGCTCTCCAGAATCTGGGCATGCTCTTAGTCCCTGCCTTCCTGCGTCTACAGGAAATCCATGAACAATTTGTCAAGGCAGAAGTTGGTGTCCGAACCTTGGATTCTCCATCCCTCTGCTGCTTCCTCGGGAGTTTGCCTGGCTTGTGTCTGCCATGCCCACTAAAACAAACGCCTTTGAAGAATAGTTTGGGCTGCTCCGCTCTTCTCAACTTTTGCCTTAACGGGCTGTGCTCTGAGAACATCAGATGCCTGGAAGGTCTCCCCTTACTGATCACTCGGGACAATATGCTCCGGCATTTCAGTCAGAGGGACCCTGTCTACCAGAGCAGCGCTTATAATCTTTTTCCAAGCCATCAAGATAGGTTCTCTGTCTGCTGCGTTGACAGTCCAGAGGCTAGGCAACTCTTACTAGAGAGCGGGTTTATCAAAGAGTTCACCCTGAGCGAATCTGCTGTTTACATCCAAGAGAGACTGAGATTGAAGGACTGGGTCACAGGTCCTGAACGTCGGGCCTGGCTAGGTAAGGTATGGAAGTTCTTTGAAATGCAGATCTGTGCATCTTCCGAGAAGGACACAATAAACCAGATGTTCCAAGAGCTAGTTTCCCTCTTCAAAGGCTGGTCTGTTCTCCCTGTGTGTGGCTCAGGTCAGGAGCTGGTTCCCCTTGACTCCCTGAACACAATTGTGGCTAGCCACGCTGGGGATGTTACTGAAATGCTCTGCAAGCTGGGCTTTGCAAAGCTGGACTTAGCTCTTCTGCCTCTAGAACTCACCGCAAGCTGCATTGAGCCACAGCTGGTTCAGACAGACAACCCTGCTGCAGTGCTGGCACAGTTGGATGCCCGGCCCAGCCTGCACTGGCATGAGCTTAAACAATGGGAATTTGAAAGTCTCTTGAGGTTCCTGAGCAAAGATCTGCAGAAGTTAGCAAGTGACTGTGGGTTACTCAGCAAGCTGAAGGCCTTGCCAATATTTGAGACTCATCAAGGACAGCATGTGTCACTCGCTTTGTACCAGAATGTGTACTTGCTGTGGTCCAAAATCTCAGAGAGGTCCGGTAATTTCAGCGAGCTTTATGAGGCAGTTACCGGGACAGTTCTGCTAAAAGACAATGTACTGAACAGAAATTTGAGCAACTGCTTGGGTATTGACGTAATGAACGATTTGCAGCAGTTTGTGAAACTCCTCTTGCCTCACCTGCTGCATCTCCCAGAGGCCCGTCTGCTAGAGGCAGTGAAGTTACTCCTCCTCATCAAGACATTCTATCCAGAGTACAAGGATCAGAAGGAGACTGTGATATCAAAGTTCCGACCTGTTGCCTTCATCCGGGACAAGCAAGGTGTGCTGCGTCCTGCATCCTACTTCTATGACAGCAGTGTTGTTCTTTTTCAAAAGCTGGGATTGGACTCTCGATTTGTGCCAGACAAATTCTACAAGACTGTGTGGTCAGGTGACGAATCAGAAGTGATTAGATTCTTAAAGGATGTGGGCCTGCGGCATGAAGTCACTGAGGATGATTTCCTGAAGTTTGCAGTCCAGATTCAGAATGAAGCGTTGAAGGATGGTGCTATGTCTGGTGAGCTTCCTAACAAACGAGAAGCACTCCTGTTGCACTTGCTTAAGCAGAAAAGTGAGTCTTTAACAGATGCCTTCTTGGATCAGTTGTCCCAGCTCCGTTTCTTGGCACCTCATCCCATCCGTGCTGATCTGCACAACCTCCACTCACCATTCGTCTCGAGCAACACTCCAGTGGCACCCCAAGGTGCTTTATGTACTTGGGAGAAAACTGAACTAGCTTGGACATCAGTAGTGATTCTGCATCCCATTAGATCAATGGATGACAACACAAAAGCCATTCTGGAACGCCTAAGGGTACAATGTACCTTATCAGCCCAACTGGTCTTGAAAAATTTGAGTAATGTATGTCGGGCAGAATGCAGTACCCAGGAAACCAGGAAAACTCGGGCAGCCGTCCTCCAACTGATGTATGGGTACTTGTTGAAAGAGAAGCGCATAGACACAGAATATGTCAATGGGCTCCCTGTGGTGCTGGTAGAAGGTAATGAAGTAGCTGAAGCCCAGCATGTGGTGGTGTCCTTGAACAACTGGAGTGAATTCCGACCATACCTCTACAGATTACTCCCAGACCTAGCTCCCTACAAGGAACTTCTGGAGAAATTTGGGATGAAAGTTGAACCCACCATCCATCATTACGCCAGTGTCTTGGCCAGGATCTACAAGGAGACCACACAGAAAGCTACACTGCTACCCAACCACATTAAAACAGTACAACGGGCCACCCGGTGCTTCTTCCAGCTTCTAGATGAATCACAGGAAACAGTGGACTTCTCAGACCTGAAGGAACTGCATCTGCCTTGCACTGATGGGAAGCTTTACCCATCTAATACCCTAGTCTTCAATGACTGTGCCACTGACCAATCCCTCCAGGCCTTGCAGGGTACTTTTCATTTCCTACTGGATCATTTCGGTGTCAACCGGTTATTTGAGACCTATAATCTCAGAAAACTACTGTTCCTGCTGCCAGTAGCCCTGCAACCCAAGAGACTGTCAGATATTACCAGAGAGCAACTGGATGAGTCATCTCTAGAACTCTGCTCCTATGGAGCTCACTGTGAGTTCCAGTCCCGTCTTGAAGAACTTCTGGTCGCTCCCGAATTCCAGGATGCTCTTGTTGCACTTCTAAGGTGGCAGAACGCAGACATGGAGGCAGAGGCTGACAGGGTACACAGTGGACTCTTCTCACTGGAGCAGTTAGAGGTTATCTGCTGTGAGATGCTCTACACCGTGATGTTTCACCAGTCACAGTGCTTGGAGGGAAGCCGAGAGGCCAAGGCCGTGTTTGTTGAAACAACACCAGATGGGAAGCAGCACATTTACCTTTTGCACCAGGACAGTTTGGGTTGGCGACAGGCCGTGAAGATCTGTGACACCTTGTCTGAAGAAGTGAACAAGCTTCTTGGAAAGAGACTTCGCACAAAGGCCATGCGTGTCCTTAGAGAGATTCTGGCTTGCCAAGGACCAGGAGAAATTGCTGCAGTGCTGAATGAACACCAAAGTGCCCCTCCAGAAGGTCACTCTCAGAGATGCTTTCACCCTTCCTGATCCCGGGGAGGAGATTCCCGAGGAATGGCATGATAGCCTGGATATGAACATCCTACATTCCTTTATGCCAGGAGATTACGTGGGTTTCTTGGACCCTTCAGTACAAGGTGAACATTATGTCTACGCTGTGGTCTTGGAGGACCTGGGGCTGCAGCAGAGCGGAGCTGGACATGTGCACATGTACCGCATTGATGTGGGAGGTGGGCAGCAGTTAGAGGTCAGCACTCACGATCTTTACCACTTCCGGCAGTGCGCACCAGCATCCGACTCAAGCAAGGCTCTGGTGTTGATGCAAAGTCCCCCTGGCAAGGCTGCTGCTGCAGGTCTAAGTGGTGGCGACTGGTACCAGCAGCCGCTGAGCGAAGTGAAGGAAAAAGTGGATGCCTGCCTAGCTGAGGTCTGGAGTCTGTTGGAGGAAGAGAGGAAGAAAGCCATACGAAGACTCTACCTGTGCTACCACCCAGATAAAAACTTAGGTCAGGAGGTCCTGGCCAATGAAATCTTCAAATACCTTAAAGAGAAAATTGAGGAGATGGAGAACAAGGGCTTAAAGGGTGGTAGTAGTTGGGGACCTAAAAGCAGTGGTAGTAGTTCGGGACCTAAAAGCAGTTCCAGAAACAGCTGGAACTTCTCAAATTATTGGAGTGAATGGGACCAGCAAGCTCATCGACACCAGCAGAGGCGTCAGGAATTCACCAGGCAAAGACAGAGCGGAAGAGGTGGAAGCAACTTCACGTACAACTTCTGGTCCTTCTACAGATCTGGAACAAAAGGTATGGAGGAGGCAAGGCGCTGGCTACGGCAAGCAGAGTATGACTTGCGGGCAGCAGCCAATGAGGTTGCGAATGACAGCACAGAATGGCTACTTTACAAGACTTACCGGGCAGTGGAGAAGGCCCTCACAGCGGTTGAATACAAGCAAGGCGGGCATTTTGACAGCAATCTGTCTGTTCCAATGCTGGCTGCTAAGGTAGCAACACATGGACAAGAGCTGACTGCAATTCGTGACCAAGTGTCCAAACTTCGGCAGCATGGCATGGACGACAAGAAAACCCAGTATCCTAAATACCACTCTCCGCCCACCATTCCCAATGAGGCCTTCCGCACATGCAAAGAAAAGGACGTGCTGCTGCTTGGTCAGGAGATTCTAGATACTGTACAGAGGTGGCTTGGCCAGGGGTTGAAAATGTGAGGGTTTTTAAGTACTTATTATGTAGACTGGTTTCTGTAATACTCAACTACCTGTAATAGAAACCTTGGGATCAAATTTCTTAAAGCACAAAGGTGGGGGGGGGAAGGAAGTATGGTTAGTGTTTCATCACATAATTGAGTGATTTTTGGGCACAGAAAGAGAGAATTTGTGTGCGGTGTGTAGCAGGGACTCTTTTGTTGTACGCATGGTGCGCACCACCAAAGAAGCGCTGCGCAGGTTCGAGGACAAGGATTGGGACTACAAGTTGGCTGTGTTCCTGTTTGGTCAGCGTACGACCCCCCACACTGAGACTGGCCGCAGCCCGGCTGAGCTCCTGTTAGGCCGCCGCCTGACCTCCCGGCTGGATCGGCTACATCCGGATCGGGCCCCTGAGGAGGAACCGACAACGGAGTCACACACCGTGGCGAGGGGGTTCTTTCCGGAAGACCCCGTCTACGCCAGGAACTACGCGCAAGGGCCACCCTGGATCCCAGCTTGAGTCGTACGGGTGCGAGGACCTCGATCCTACGAGGTCTCCTGCGAGGACGGCCAACTACTTCACCGCCACATCGACCAACTGAGGCGACGGGTCCTCCCAAGCGATCCCGAGGATCTGGAGTTCGCGGAGCCGGACGACGCGACGGCCCACACACCAGAGCCGCCGGCCCCAGCCTCCGTTCCCGTCCAGGCCATCCCGGAACCTCCTGCACTGCAGTCACCGGAATCACCACAACCACCCTCCCTGCCACGGGCCCCCGTAGCAACCCCGACCACCACACCGGAACGCCGTCGTTCCACAAGGACCAGGAAGGCCCCAGCGTACCTCCAGGACTTTGTGTGTGGGTAGTCTGGACTATGGGGGGAGGGGTGTAATGTATCCACCATTACCACGTGCGCGACCGTTGGGCCATGCGGTCAAGCACAAGCCTGTAGCTTCGTTCCTTGAGAACAATAGCCAAGCGGATCCTAGCCCGCACCAATCAGAGGGCCGGATCCGCAGCCGAGAGCCTATGAGACTCTCGGCTACTGTAAATAACCTATAGGGTGAATAGGGGCGTGTTTTGGTGGCGGGGTTTCTGTGTATATATACCGGCCTGCGAGCCGGCTGTCTTGTCTTGTTCCTGATTGAATAAAGTACTCTTGCTGAATCACTCCACGTTTCTGAGTACTTTTCATTTATGTTTTTTGATTTTCAATAAATGTTATTTGCTAAGGAAAAAACTGCTTTTTTTCTAATTGAATTAACCTGGGGAAGCAAAAGGTTCTGCAGACAGCGACACTTCCCTTTCTAACCCTAATTTGTGGGCCCTCCATAAGTTTTGACCAACTATCTTCAAGCCCAAACACTTCTCGTCCATGTTCTTCCCATCTGGTTTTGCTATCTGGATTCTACTAATGCCCCTTGGTTTTACTTATTCCAGGCTCCTGTGGCTTCTCTCCCTGCTTACATAAAAAGTGTCTGAGACAGCTAACATTTAGGGGGAAAGAATCCAAACATAAATCTGTTTCTTTCCAAAAATTTCACTCCTGATTGGCAGCCTCACTCTACCCTGCCTTGATTCATGAGATGACTTGAAGCCGTATCAAACAATAGTAAGGATGATTCCATTCTGCATACTGTTTGCTGTAGTTTTCAGAGCTTTTAATTCATTTGCATACCCCCATATTGCCAGTGGATGCGTGCACCATAATCTTGTGCATGTCCAAATTGCCCTTTTACAGGAAGGGTTGGATAGCCAGCTTTCCCAGTGGATCTTGTCCCGTTCCCCACCTTAATGCAGTCCCATTCCATGTGATTTTTATACATGCTGGTCCCATGATCCCCAGCAGAGTCTTCGGGGTTATCAAAGGGGACCTCACCTTCCCAACCATAGCCAAAAAAAGCAAGACATTTTGGCAGGGTCCTGCACAGGTCAGAAACTGCACCTGCTGAGGTTCTGTAAACTACAGGGAACGTTTGGGCGTTGAACGAACGCTGCCCATTGGCCCTAATTTGTGCTGTTTTGCCTAATTCCCTGGGTTTTTTTGGATTTATAGTGCAACATCGCCAGGGGATTTTTAAGTGGGAAAAAAAAGTTCCCTCTAAGCTGTGGAGTCTGGTGAGCCAAAATTCTACTTTGTGAGCTACTGGCATTAAAGTTGTGAGCGAGCGATTTGGCTACTGCATCAATTAGTTTGCTCTGGAGCCTTCCTTCCTGTGCGAAGACAAAAATGTGTGAGCCGGAGGCTAAAAAACCGAGCTAGCTCACTCTCAGCTTAGAGGGAACACTGGTGGCGATAACAGTTGCTGCTATCCTTAAATCCCCTTAAAAGTTTACTCCACTAGTAGCTCCAGATTCGGCTTCCTGTCAACCCCGTGCAATCTCTCTCACATTCATTATCTGTTTAAGGAATCAAAATATCCATATTGCCATCATGACCCTAATTTGTCTGACTTGGGGCTCATTTCTCATAGAAGTGGCAAAGTAGTCCAGAATTTGATTGTGGTGGAAGGTGTTGTCTTGTCACAGCCGTCTTGAAGCAACCGGGTGGGGTATTCAAGGCAAGAGATGTTCAGAGGTGGTCTGCCCATTGCTTTCCTCTGCATAGCAACTCTGCACTTCCTTGGGGCTCTCCCATCCAAGTTCTAACCAGCCCCGACCCTGTTGAGCTTCTGAGATCTGATGAGACTGGGCTACCCAGGTCAGGTGGTCTTGAATGTGCCACTTCATAACGGATTATTCCTATGATAGGCTGGGTTGCCTTTTTCCTGACCGCGGTCTTAGCAGGGGGGAATTTTGCATATGGACTCCTTGGAATCCTGACCTACAATCTGAAGTAAGTAAAAACCCAGGCATTAGTTTACTACCAGGGACAAACGATACGGGTGTTAATAAATAGGTTATTAACCTAAGTTTGATGCTGTGTTGGGAAGTGTTTTTTCCTCTAAGTATCTAAATTAACTGTGCAGCCCATTGTCCCAACACCTTGGTAATGCATGGCTGTGATGTTGCTAATCTGGTGTTGAAAGGCTGTTTCAGAAGAGCATCTGAAACAATTGGAAGCAGTGGAAACCGTGCATAAAAAGGCAGTAACTGGAAATTACTCCCTCCTTATTGCATTTATTTGAATCCCACCCTTTCTCTAAGGAACTCAGGGCACTGGGCGCTCCTGTCTTCTGTTGTATTTTCACACAACACACCTGCCCCCAATTTGCAGCAAAATGAGCATCACCTGTTGAATGTCTGCCTGTTGTGACCGCCAAAAAAAAAAAAGCAATGACTCCCAGTGCTGAGAACTCAATTAAAAGCACCCCAAAATTATGGGCTGAGGATAAATATTGCAGTTCTGTCTTTTCTACCTTTTGTAATGAAAGAATCGAATGTTCCCCATACCTAATTCTTTCCACAGCTAGGGATGCCAGCTCCGGGTTAGGAAATCCCTGGAAATTTTGGGGGTGGAGGCTGGGGAGGGGAGCCACCTCAGGAGGATAGAATGTCATAGACTCCATTCTACAATCAGTCGTTTTCTCAAGGAGAACTGATCTTGGATGTCTGGAGATCAACTGTAATAGTGGAAGATCTCCAGGTGGTACCTGGAAGTTGGCAACCCTCGGAGCATAGTGCTTCCCCCCCCCAAAAAAAAAGTAAACATGTCACTGTTCTGATCACACACTACCACTGGCACTTATCCCTGCATTTAAAAAAAACTGAATTATGTGTAGCGAAATGAAAATTTGGCGCCACCTTGAATCCGAGAATCAGACCTTCAACCTTCTGTACCCGTTTCAAATAGGGCGGCTGGGGCCGTGTAGCTGTCCCAGCAGCAGTAAAGATGGCGCCTTCCTTCAGTCCTTCGCTTGTTGCCCAGAACACACATGGCGGCTCTCTTCCCCGCCTCCCTTCACCAATAGTAAAGATGGCACCTCAATCTCCCCCTCCCCACCCCTTTTATGCAAGAAATGTTTTTCGGCTTAAAAGTATGAAGAATCGTAAAGATTTACCGCCGCTATGAATTTTCGTGGGCCGAAAGCCCAGCCTTTCATCGGAGTCTGAGGAAACATCACCCTCCCTTCTCCTTGCCCACACTAAAAATGGCGTCTCGGCGAGGCTCGACGGTGCCTCCCCGTCCCCTACCACCTGCCCACAGCAAGGATGGCCACGATGCGACCGTTCGTACTCCTCCCCATCTCTTTGCCCACAGAAAAGATGGGTGCGGAGAGGGGGGTGGGGTGTCCTGTTAACTTCCACAGGGGCTGGATCTGAGGGTGGCGGGGACGGGCAGCCGCAAGAGGTCAAAGCCCCCCCCCCCCCCTGGCCCCGCTTCTCTGGGGGGTGGGGGAGGCTCTGCCCCCCCCCATTCCTCTGAAGAGAAGCGACTCCCTCCGCTACGATGTCGGCACCTATAAGAAGTTGTGAGTACCGGGAGGTGGGGGGCGAAGAAGGATTTGGGGAGCGATTCTTCCTCTCAGTCTCAGGAAAGCAAGGGACGAGCAGGGAGATCTCCCCTCTCTCATCATGCCCATGCCTGCGACAGGTACACGAGAGGCGCTAAGTGGGTCAGGCAGGTAGAAAGGACAGAGGGGCCAAGAAAGGGAGGAGAGCCGGGACTCCTGGGTTCTTTAGGAACGGAGCAGCATTAGAAGAATTGGGCGGGCGGGGGGGGGTGCGCTGCTCAGAATCACTGAATGCAGATTAGACGCACACACCCCTTTACACACTACTTGAATGTATTTATTTATCCAGGGGGCAAGACGGGGGCAACTGAATGGTTTCCTCCATATCCTATTAATGTATGATTGTGGTTAATGTGAGGGGGATATATTTATAGGTTAGTGATCATTATCTCAAAGCCCATGTAGCAGAAGTTATTCCAGAATAATGAACGGGAAGGTCCAAGCAGGGGTGGCCTGAACAGGGCAAATAATGTTAATGGGATCCTGTCATGAGGGATGCTGCTGGGTCTTTTGGATTCTTCTGGGGGAGAGGAGACTCTGAGGTACCAATAGGTTTGCAGATGTCCTGGCCTCCTCCTGTCCCCAGGTGTTTTTATTGCTACCTCAGATTGCCTCACAGTAAATGATGAAAAATGATAGTGCCCGAACAGCAGAAGTTAACATGTTACCTCTTCGGCTGTTAGTGCATCCTTGTCTTGTTTTGCTCTGTCTTGTTCTGTTTTGTAATTTACATGGCACAATACTGGCACTCTGATTTTTTACCCCTGAGCGAATATTTGTGGTGTTGCATCTGCTAGTGGAACGTGACTTCGAACCAGGATTCTTGGGTTTGTTGAGAGACAGTTAAAGTAGGATAACCGGTGTGTGTGTGTGTGTGTGTGTGTGTGTGTGTGTGTGTGTGTGTGTGTGTGAGAGAGAGAGAGAGAGAGAGAGAGAGAGAGAGAGAGAGAGTGAGTCAGGACTTCTCTGTTCCGTGGAATAGACAGAATTTTGTTCCTGGTTTCACTCTTATAAACACAAAGCTCGGTCTCCTGTCTACAATCCCACACCTTTTCAAAGGCATCAGGAACCCCAGCCCTCAGAAGGTTTCTTAGCATATTGTTTTGTTCTTGCCATGGAAAGATATTTTATTAGTTTTCATCCCTACCCTATCCCTGTATTTACATGGTGTACAAAAAAAAAAAAAATTATTGTCCCAATTAATTTCATACCAAGCTAGTGAAACAGATTGTACTGGGATCTCAAAGGGTGATTTGCCTGAAGTTCAACTCCCATGGTGGCTGGACAAAGATTTGAACTTGGGATCACACACATTCAAACCGACTCCTGTATTCACTGACACATAAACTGAGAAAATGAGAGAATCCCCCCCAAAGCTTTTGACTCAGCTTCCAGTTCTGAAAGAAAAGCTGAAAGTGTAACTGCTTCATCTCCAGCCTGTGATGAAACTCAACCTAAGAATATGGAACAGAAACAAACTGTTTTCCACCATCTCCTTCCCCCACTTTTGGATCCCTTGTGTCAATTATAGATTAGGGTAGGAACTTGGGTTCTTGTTCTCTATAAAGAGCAGAGTCCCCTGGGACACCTCTGTAAACCATCTCTTGACCAGACTATCCTGATGTGTATTGTCCACCCCCATCCCTACTCCACGTGAACAGCCATTTTCACATACATGCAGACTCTTAAAATTCTTGCCTTGGTCTCTTGTGTGAGTCAGTTGGAATGGTTCACTTTGAACCACTGCACCTTTTGGCATATGCTTTACCTACACTGATATGGATTGTATGGGTTAATGCGGGGGGGGGGCAGTAAGGACTGGGACTCAGTGGCTTTTTCCTCCCGTTCATCTCTATGATTCTATGACTGTCCCCTTTCTGCTCTTCAGAGGCACTGTCGGGTAAATGGAGAACTGCGATGAAGAGTGGCCAGAGGGCCAGCGCCCCCTTGAGACACCAGGAGTCGGCACTGCCACCGGATCTGTGGAAGAGTGCGCGGTTCTGTACTCTGATACGGAGGACGATCCGTCGCTCCTGACAGACAACGGAGGTGGCGCCCGGGCCCCTTTCCACTGCTCCGAGTGTGACAAGAGTTTCCGCTACCGCTCCGACCTGCGCCGCCATTTTGCCCGGCATACAGAACTGAAGCCTTTCCAGTGCCCTCACTGCGTCAAGAGCTTCAAGCATTCCTTCAACCTGGTGAACCACATCCGGAGCCACACGGGGGAGCGCCCCTACCGTTGCACCATGTGCCCGAAAGGCTTCCGGGACTCCACCGGACTCCTCCACCATCAAGTGGTCCACACCGGAGAGAAGCCCTACTGTTGCCACGTCTGTGAGTTGCGCTTCTCCTCCCGGAGCAGCTTGGGCCGTCACCTCAAGCGGCAGCACCGGGCTTCCCCTGCCGCCACAGCCCCTCAGCCCCCCACCCCGCGCTGCCTAGCCTGTGGCAAAGAGCAGAGTCCCCTGGGACACCTCTGTAGTGCCGGGCGAGGTCGGGCTGCCCCTTTTGGCTGCGGGGCCTGCGGGCGGCACTTCCAGTTGGCCTCGGAACTGCGACGCCATTGGCTGGCTCATACGGACATCAAGCCCTTTAAATGCCCAGAGTGTGAGCGGGACTTTAACGCCGCGTCCTTGTTAGAGCGCCACAAACTCACGCACGCCAAGGACAGGCCCCCGCCTTGCCAAGTCTGTGCCGGGAAGGTCCAGCAGGCTGACAAGGGCCTGGGACTGGAAGGCCTGGGCGAGGAGCAGAAGGAGGGGGAGCCGGAAGAAGGGGCCCTGCAGCACAGCAGGGGTTGCCCAAACCGCCACTCCCCAGACACCCGCCCCCCAGAGACCTTGTACCAGTGTGAATGCGGGACCTTTTTTGCCAATGGCAACACCCTCGCAGCTCACTTGACTGCCCACGGGGGCGAGCCCTCCTTCACCTGCGGCATCTGCGGCCAGCCCTTTGTGAATCTGCAGTCCCTGGAGGAGCACCAGGTGAGCCATGCTGTGGCCACACCTCCAACCCCCGGCTCCGGCAGCGAGCTGGAACGCCACCTTTTGCCCCAGCTGGACCTTCGAACGTTCCCGGCCCGGCCCGGCAAAAAACTCTACAAATGCAGCGAGTGTGAGAAATACTTCCGCAGCCCCCGGGATCTCGACCGGCACGTCTTGGTGCACACCGGCGAGAAGCCCTACCAGTGCACCGAGTGCGGCAAGTTCTTCCGGCACGAATGCTACCTGAAACGGCACCGGCTGCTGCACAGCGGCGAGCGGCCTTTCAAGTGCACCGTCTGCCACAAAGGCTTCATCACTCTGAGCAACCTCTCCCGGCATCTCAAGCTGCACCGTGGGATTGACTAGTGGGGGGCCGGGAGCGCCTGAAACGATAGCCCTCTGTCCCCCCCTGCACTGCTTTCCTCTACCTCCACCCCCGTGGCAGCCAGAGGCGATCCCGTTCTGGAGACACAACTCTTGCCTCGTGGCGCTCAAAAACCACGCCCGCCTACCCGTTCTTCATGGTCCGTTAGTGTAGGGTAGAGGACTTTGCGATGTAAAGATGACAGCAATACAAGAAAGTATTATTTACTAGTGTTCCGTTTTGCAGCGGGTAAGAATACCTTGCACATGCTCGAGAGCGGCTGAGTTTTGGGGGGCGCTTGCTTGGACAGGGAATTGAGCACTTTGGATTCGCTCCCGCAATATTCCAGGAGGAAGGAAAGGCATGCCAGGGACTTAACCCCTTCAGCCCAGGCTGTTGTCTCTAGGAGCATTACCCAAGTGAGCCTATCCATGCCGAGGTTCCTTTGTCCCAGACCAGTGTAAGTGCTCTAGGACAACTATTCTTAGAGCACGAGGATGACCTCCCTAGGAGGGTCTCCCAGTTGTCGTGGGAGACACAAGCTCCTCCCGGGGATGTGTTGAGCTTTGGACCAGAAGACCCAAGACTAACCTGTCCCCAGCACTTCCTTACCACCGTCATGCAGGAGGTCTAGCTTTTGTGTTCATAGGCAGCACTGTTGGTCAGAGTCAATGTATTCTTTTGCAGGAACCTTCCATCATGCTGTCGGACTGCGTGATTCTGTCCCCCCCCCCCGATCCTCTCTGCCTCTGGACAAGAGTCACTGCAGTTAGGATGGACTTCTGCCTTCCCCTTTCCAACTCTAGAGGCATAACAGCATCCCGAATCTCAGACTGCCGGGATTTTCACTCCCCCAAAGAATCCTGGCCATGAGAATGGATGGATGAGTCAGGTTCAAAAGATCCTCAAGATCCTCAGAATTACAGTTCCCGAGGCTTCCTGGGGAAAGGAAGGCTCACTAACTGAATGGAAAATCCATTTGCAAATCCATTTGTAGGAGAACTGTGCCCAGCGTTATTTATAGAGAGGTCTGAAAAGGTTTAATTTAGGGAACCCCTGCTTAACAGCTGCGATATGTCTGAGTGCAAACACTTTAACAAAAGCATCCCCTTAAAAAAATCGTCACATGTTCAGCTTAAAAACTGCAAGGTTTCACAGCAAAAATAGCTTCCTTCAGTATCCCCCTGGTTTCTTAGCTTTAGACCAAAGGCTGAAACTCTGTTTTTCTTTCCTTTTTTCCTTTCCTTAGCAGTCATAAGGACTAGCCACATAGTTTTCCAATGAAGCCGCTCACGTATCACAGTCTTTGCCCATTAGCAGGTGGAGCTCTATTGTCTCAAAGACAAAAACATGCTGCCTGTAGAGTGTGCAGTTGTCTTGTCTGCTGTAGGGTCTCTGGGGTTCGGCGGGGCCTCGTCTGCTTGCGCGACTGTATCTCTGACATGGTTAACTCAAGCAGTTTTGGTTAGAGTGGAAGGTAAATTGCTTCTGATCAGAGGTACAGCTTGCTTCTTGGCTTTACTTTCTGTTTCTCCCCGTAAGAAAATACATTTTCTCTTTGTTTCTTTTTTGCAACTCAGAAACTCTTTCATTTCTAACAGATTTTCTTTTTGTCTCTGAAATTTGGTTCAGTGCTTAAAAGGATGTGTTTGCCTTCATGTTAAGGTTCAGCTGTTGGGGGAAAGGTTAAGTTTTATAATGTAAGGGCAACTTCGAACATACCCTTTTTTGGTGAAGAGAGAATTGCAACCTTTGTAACACTCAATAAATCCCTCCTTCATCCTGGGATACATGGCTTGGGGGAAAGGTTGACTCTGGGGTAGATGCAGGCTTGTATGTCTGTGTTCAAAGGGGTCCCCCAGAATGTTGAACTTGTTCAGGGGGTTGGTTTTTTGGAAGCCATGTGAGCTTTACCTATAGTAAAATAAGCTGTCAAAAAAACAAGCTGGAAAAATATGGCATATTCTATATGCAGAGGGATTGTTGATTTCTCACTTCTGCACATCAAAAAGGGAAAACAGCTTCTTATTCCCCTTGGCTTCTCTGCTGTCCAGTTCACTTGTGTCCATCTTGGTGGCACCTGGGCCCTCCGTGCTCTGTCAACTAATTTAAATTTCAGTACAGAGACAAATCTGTCTACCCCGCCTCCCACCACAGAATAATTTACTGACAAATAGTTGTTTTGTTCTCTCTCTCTCTCTTTTGTTCCTTTCGTTAAGCCCTTGGTAGGACCTTGAAAATAATCTAATAAAAGCCAGCTCCTGACCAAATCCCAGTTCCTTATCTTCTATGGAATGCAAGCCTCACGGCTGGGCATTTCTCTACAGCACACGTGTGTGTGTGGGCCCTTGTGGGTTTCGAAGGACAAGGCCATCATCCTACAGCACGAGCCTTGTGGGGCCAGGTGCCGAGCCGTTGCCCACGAGGATGAGATCAGCTAAAGCAAAAACCCGGTTGTTAAGGTGAAAGCAAAACCTACGCATAGACTGACACACACACCTGAATTAAAAGAGGCTCTTGTACAAACTGAAAGAGTTGCGTTATGTTGAGTCATGTAATTGAGCCCTCTAGCTCTGTAGTATTGTATGCTCTGGCTGGCAGCGGCTCTCCATAGCTGAAGGCCTTTGCCAACATCTGCTGCCTGAGATTCCTTCTCCAGATGCCAGGGAGTGGCCCTGGGACACAGTGTGTGCTCTCTGGGCCCTTATCCCCTGCAAATAGCTTTTGACCTATGGTATGCAGGCTTTTAAAGGAACGTTTCCACTCCATCTCCTCCTGGGAATCTGTTTCCAAAGCTGGGGCTCAGGTGTGCACCATCCCGTCATTGAGTGGCTTATATTATATGAGCCCGCTTGCGGGGAGGGCGGGGTAAAAATACCTAAATAAATAAAAATAAATATAAATACTCCAATATATGCAATCAGTAGCTTTCAGGGTTTTACAAGAAAACTGGAATAATTTCAAAGTGGTTTTGCTTGCCGCTTTAAGTTTTATAGAAAAAGAAAAACCCATGCGGTTTCAACAGTGCACAAAATGAAGAGCCGTCTTCTATGCGGTGAGTAAATAATTCGGATTCAGAACAATACCACATATTCTTGCCTGACATTCTCTGTCGGCAGAGTCTGATTCCAGTGTTGAGCAAATGGTCATTGTTGCTCCAGGGACTTCTTGTTTAAACCTGTATTTTTCCTCGGGGAAAAATGGGTTCAAATGTTAATTGCCATCATATTCCACAAGTGAAACATCCAGCGTTCCAAAGCGAAAACGCGACTGCTTCCAAAACCCATGCAGCCATCAACACGTGTGCCACTGATCACCGTTTTATTAAACATTGGGTTTTCTTGCAATAAATACTGATGTGTAGTGAAACACTAAGGATCATGGAGCCACGGCCCCAGGGGAATAATAAGCTATCTGGATTTGTTCCTTCCACACAGCCCCTTTTGAGCAGTCTTTCCCCCCTGATGCTGCTATTCTCGTTTAGCAGTCTGTTTCAAGAATGTGGAATAGAGGCCTCTGGAGACGAGGGAGGAAGGAGACGAGGGAGGAAGAAGAGAGTCTTTAAGGGTGGGTGTATGCTATAAGCAAAGGGGAATCATTAGAGACATCTGAGGCAGCCTGTGCATTTTCGAAGTGGAAGCATCCCTGAGCTATGGTTGCCAACCTCCAGCCTGGAGATCTCCTGCTATTACAGCTTATCTCCAGATGACCAAGATCAGTTCCCCTGGGGAGAAAATGGATGCTTTGGAGGGTGGAGTCTGTGGCCTTGTTCCCCACTGAAGTCCCTGTCCTCCCGAGGCTCCACCCCCAAATCTCCAGGAGTTTCCAGAAACCCTGCCCCTCCTCATCCCCTGCCAGTGGCCAAGGAGGACCAGGGTGTCTGTATGCATGCAAGGGCAGTGCACCTGGCATATATGTGTGTGTGTGAAGAGGGCGTGGCTTCATACTACAAGGCTCCAATGGAGCTAGTACATATGGGGGGGGACACGTGCAGCAGGGCAGGATTTCCGTAATTTCAATGAACTGGTGGTGAGTTGAGCCATGAGCCGACTGTCAAAACCCCCGTGTCCTACGAGAAGGCTTTGGGATGAAAGTCAAGAGAGAGAACACACAAGACCGGGGAGTGAATCCTCACTGCGCAGGGTAATAAGCCACCCACCAGTCTTGGCCCCACAAGGTAGGTCACTTGCAAGCTGAGTTCCACTATCACTTGGTAGCTGTAGCCAAAATAAGCCAAGGTGCTGGGTTTAGACTGAAGCCCCCAAAGCCAAGTAGCACCACAGGGATATGATTAATACAGTTTATTACAAAGAAATGTGCAAAAAGTATACAAATATAAGAGCAGTGCAAAGCAGGGAAGAAAATAAAACTAAATAGCTATCCTAAAGTATATATTCAGGCTTTAGTTCTCTGACCCAATGTTACCTGGTCGGATTGAAGATACAGCGTTCCGATACAGGTCCAAAACGCAGGAAGCAGGTGTTCCGGCTGCATAAGCCCCAACCGACAGTCAAAAGGATGCCTAGAAATGCCAAATGGTCTTGCTTGATGCCAGACTGCCTGCAGCTGGCTTGATTCTGTTTGGCCAATCAGGTGTGTGTGGCTAAAGACACGTGACCTCTGTAGCTGCCACATGTTTACAGCCAAGCAACTTCCCCACGCTCAGGGTTCCTTGTGCTATTGAGATGGAATGTGAGTGCAAAACTCCCTCCCGGTCTCCGACCTTGAAGCTCCCAGCTCCATAATCTCACCTGCGTCTGTGCCGGGCTTCATCTCATCCCTTCTCTCTCCGGAAACTGCAAGTCACTGAGCCATTTCTCAGAGAGGAGCCCTCCATAACGTAGTAGTCTCAAAGCCTGAAAGGCCAAGAAATGGCTAAACAAGGACAGTTTCTTGACAGCTACTGGGTTCACATATGGCTGTGATCACACACTGAATAATCCCCTTTCAATGCACTTTCCAATTGGATTTTGCCAGTTCACACAGTCAAATCCAGTTGGAAAGTGCATTGAAAATGGATTATTTAGTGTGTGTGATCACAGCCATGGAGTTGCCAACTGCCAGTAGAGGGGGGGGGAGTTCTGTCCCATAATGGATCAATAACAGGATCAATGGCCTGTTATTTTGCAGATGCTGTTATTGACCTCCAAAACGCTTCAACTGCCCATGTCCACATATCAAGCCTCTGTTTAAGGAACAGGATGTTTTTTCTCCAGGTCCACTGGCAACCCCAGGGACAGAGGACCAGGCTGGTGTTCAGAAGATGAGCTTTCACAATATCCCGGTTAACTTCCTCGTGTGTTAGGCCCATTCAGCCACCCCTCTGGCTGAGGCAAGTAGGTGGTTTTTGTAGTGTGCATGCAGGCTGAGATGACTGCAGGGCGTGCAGCGTGGTGTTGTGGTTAAGCGCATCCAACTGGTATCTTGGAGACCCGGGTTTGAATCCCCACTCATGCCATGGAAGCTTGCTGGGTGACCTTGGGCCAATTGCTTTTGGCCCAACCTACGTCACAAGATTGTTGTGAAGATAAAATGGAGAGGAGAACGCTGTAAGCCACTTTGGGTCCCTGTTGGGGAGAAACGTGGGGTACAAAGGAGTTAAATAAAATATAGGCCAGCTGCCTCAATATGTCCTGCCTGCGCTGTGTTCATGCAGGTTGTCATGTGAGACTGGGTGTGCATGCAGTGTGTGCCATTGTGCGGAAGTACCAACCTCCTGTATGCAGTGTTCCCTCTAAGCTGAGTTAGTGTGAGCTAGCTCACAGTTTTTCAGCCTTCGGCTCACACATTTTTTGTCTTAGCTCGAGAAGGGATGGCTCCAGAGCAAGCTAATTTATGCACTAGCCATATTGCTTGCTCACACCTTTAATGCCCGTAGCTCACAAAGTAGAATTTTTGCTCACAAGACCCCACAGCTTAGCGGGAACATTGCCTGTATGCATGGATAGACTGTATCCCCCCCCTCCTTAATCTTAAAGGTTCGCAAGGCAAGGTGTGTGTGTGTGTGTGTGTGTGTGTGTGTGTGAGGAGTTGCTTTGTGAGTGTATCTGTCAACCTGGGGTGCATCCTGATTTTATTTACATACACTCCATCCACCCACCCACCCACCCACTGCCCTCAAAGCATTGCTCACATACCAAAGGCAAAAGACCAGGTAAAAAACAATCAAACACAATCTCTACAGTTCATATACAAAACCAGCACCAAGCCTGGCCGAATGCATGCCAGCTACCTCGTAAAGCTGAGGCTCTCAGCCTTTTGACCCTGTGGGCACCTCTGGGATTCTGCCACAGGATGGTGAGTGCAATGACAAAATGGCTGCTGCAGGAGGCGGAGTCCCGTAAACAGAGGCAGCCCAAGTGCAGGGGAGTGTGGTGGTAACTAAAAAGCACACACTGGGAAGAGGGATGAGGGAGAATAAAACAAAAGGTGGTGGCAGCTGCATCTGAAGCAAGGTTATTTTAATCTGCGCGGCCAATCAGATCTTCAGGGGCAAATCAGAAGCCCCGCTGGGCAAACGCCCCACCCACTTGCTAAAAACACTTGGCGGGCGCCAAGAAAGATCCTGGTGGGCCCCCAAGGCACTCATGGGCATCCTGTCGGAGACCCCTGGCTGTCCTAAAGGTCACCTTACCGCCCAGAGTTTTGTTTGTGGAATAGCGGCAGGGAGGAGAGCCAAACCAACAGCCAGCAGAAGGGCATTCCAGAGCGCCGGGCCGCCACTGAAAAGGCTCTGCTTCTTGTACATCCCAAACTGGCATCTACGCGCACGAAATGTTATTTAGAGCAGGACTTACTGGAACGTCCTGTGAAGGGGGCCGCTGTGAGCCTGCCGAGGGCACCCGGGTGGGGAAGAATAAGCTCGCCCGGTGGCGTTTCCCTGCTGCGCGGCTGTCGGGGAAGGGCGGGCGAGGGCCGCGCGCGTCGCGTAAGGCTGCTCCGGGTGCCAGCCGGGGGCTTTGGCGCACACGCGAGGGTGTCCCGGCGGGCTTCGCCAGTGCTGCCCACGGCGGCGCCCGCAGCCTGCCGGGAGCGGAGGGGTGGGCTGGGCTGGGGGGTGCCTGTGGGTGTCTTGCAGGAGGACGACGTATCTGGCGCCACTGGATGCCGCCACCCTCGCCGCTCGCTCGCTCGCCCAGCCCCGGCGCCTCCCCCTCCGGGCGGCGGCGGCAGCGGCTGCGGAACCAGGTACTGCGAGGGGGACCTCGGCGAGGAAACCGGCCGCGCGGGGTTGGGGGTCGTGGGGGGGGATTAGGAGGTGCGCGTCTTCGGCGGAGGGGGCGGAGGGCTGCCTTTCCCCCGGCTGCGAACAAAGCCCGGAGAAGAGCGGGGCGGGGGAAGGGGGAGCGCCGGGGAGAGGCGCCCCCAGGTGGCACCGGGCTCCCGCAGAGAGATCCCTTCCGGGCGGCCCTTCCTGTTTCAGGCTGAGTCGCGCTGGTCGGGGGTTGGCGAGCCTGTCTCTCCATCCTGGCTGGGATTGTATCTCAACGCACCCCCACCCCAGTCCCTCCCACCCTTTGGGAGAAGGTCGGGTGACCCTTGGGTGCCGGGGAACCGAGGGATCCCGAAAGAAGTCCTGGGGCGCTATAAACACCCACAGCTTTAGGCAGGACAGCCTCAGAGGGCTTGCAGAAGCCAGGTGTGCATGGTGGTGGTGGGACCACATTTCCCTCTTTCTGCCTTTGGGTTCCTCTCTCTGTGTGTGGGGGTGGCTGTGTCAGCACAGGCATCTCAGGCACCGAAGCTGGAACCCACAGAAGCGGTGGGCCAGAACAAGTCCTGTTCCAGCGCCATCCTGAACAGAGTCAGGCCCTTCGAAAGCCCCTTTGGAGCCAGCTGGTTCAGAAGAGGCGTTCCTCTGCTAGTTTTTCAGAGGCCACGGGGCTCCCCTTTTGGACAGGCTCCAACAGATTAGCTCATCTCCAGAATCTGAGCCACCATCCCAAACCCACCAGACCCCGGTCCTTTGTTAGATCATCCTGAGGCCTCCTCCTAGGGTCTCAGCCACCAGTCCTTCCCTGCCCTTTAACCACAGGCCCGCTCGGGTGTCCCCCTTTCTCCCTAAACAGATTCCTCACTTACTGTGTAGAGAGGATAGGGGCCTGGGATTTCAGCTGTTGGCCCCAGAAACCACCAAGGTCTACACCAAACTGCATCTGTCTCCCTCCCTTTCCTCTCCTCCCTCCCCTTGTTATTTCTTCCTTTCCCCCTTTTGAATGTAAGTTCCTTGGGGACAGAGACCTCTCTGTTTTGTCTAAAGCCCAGTATATGATTCTGTATGTATTAACGGACAAGGGTGATAATTCCAGTGAGCCCCCAAAAAGTTTGATTTCCAATCTCCTTGGAATCCCAGAAGTTCTGGCTCCCAGTCTTCCTGTTTAAAATTTATTTTCTAACCACACAGAATGCCCCTGCTTCACCGTCAGCATGAAGAGGCCTGATTCCGTTCTGTGGCAGCAGAGTTTATCTTTAGGAGAGTGAGTGAGCAGGGAGACCAAATGCCTTTAAAAAGTTGTGCTTAGAGATTAACAGGGAGACCATGTCTCTCGCTCTAGAATGGAACTAGGGGTTCTAGTATTGAAAAGGTAAAGGTAAAGGTTCCCTTGCTCGAAAGCCAGTTGAGTCCGACTCTAGGGTTGCGGTGCTCATCTCCGTTTCAAAGCCGAAGAGCCAGTGCTGTCCGAAGACGTTTCCGTGGCCATGTGGCCGGCGTGACTAAACACCAAGGCGCACGGAACGCTGTTTCCTTCCCACCGAAGTGGTCCCTATTTATCTCCTTGCAATTTCTTGCTTTCGAACTGCTAGGTTGGCAGGAGCTGGAACTAGAGACGGGAGCTCACTCCGTCATGCGGCAACCCGGGTCTCGAACTGCTGAACTACTGACCTTCCACAGTATTGAAAAGAGCACTTTAAAAGAAGGGAAAGGTCCTTTGGACTGGGGAAGCAGGACAAGTCCATGGCGCATTGGTTCCGAAGGGACACCATGGACACAAAAGGGATACCCTTTGTATGTGAACTCCTCCAAAAGATGCTTGAATGTGGTAGCTGCCATTTGTACATGGACAGTTACAGCAAATAAATCCATGGAACTGGATTGTTCATAGTTTTCTCCAACCTGCATGCCATCTTATTTGCCTGTCAGTAGCTTGGGGGAGGGGAATCAACTCTCTTGCATTATAAAATCTTTCCTGCCTGGTCATCTAAAGGCAAGTGAGACTCTCCCCAGTCAACTAGGGGAACGGGCTATTTGTAAGACAGAATTATAAGAGCCTCAGAGGCATGGAGTGCTTTTTTCTTTTTTCTTTTTGGTAAGCAAGCTCCGTATGCCTGTATAGCAAGTCTAAGTTTAAAGAAAAGAAAAATGCAGTGCATAGTAACGTTGGCCCCATAAAAAAAGAAATGCAGAGCGAGAGTTGAACGGGAAAGGAAGGCTTAAATTCACAGGGTGGCCCCTACCATAATGAAGTGCCAGTCCAAAGGAGGTCTTGTATTAAGACTTGAGAAAGTCTGGCCCTGATCTGGATACCCCAGGCAAGCCCGACCTCATCAGATCTCAGAAGCTAAGCAGGGCCGACCCTGGCAAGTACTTGGGTGGGAGACCCCCAAGGAACACCAGGGCCGGGATGGAGAGGCAGGCTATCAAGCCACTTCTCTGTATGTCCTCCATGTCCCAGTAGGGGTCGCCAGAGATTGCTATGACTTCCAGACATGGGCTCACAGACACACGAAAACACACGCAAAAATGCAAAAATACCCCCCCAAAGAACACAATTTTTAAAAAAAGACTTCAGAAAGTCTGAGTGCAACAAAATGAACCAAATACCACCCATGTTTCCCCCCCTGCCCTTGAAATCTCTCCCCCCCCCCAACACATTTTGAGGAATAGTTCCACAAAAGTCAGAAGCTGGCATTCTGCATTTTTGAACATTATATAATCACTATAGCTTAATGGTCTCGCCTTTCTCTTACACAGGGGATAACTCATGGAGTCTCCTAAGCTGCCGGACTCCCCGGAGCCGAACGCTTTGCTGACGCCCCCCAAGCCTGCCACACTTGAAACTCGCCAGCATCCCGCTCACCGTTGCCCGGCTTGTCACAAAGCCTTTGTTTCTGCAGCCGCCGTGCGCGATCACCATTGCCAAGCCGAGAGCAAGAGCCAGAATTCCTGTCCCGTCTGCGGGAAAGTGTTCAAGTTCGCTTACTACCTAGCACGCCACCGTCTGACCCACGGCAGGCAAAAACCCTTCCGGTGCAAACTTTGCCATAAAACCTTCAGCCGCTCGGCGCATCTGGCCCGCCACAAATGCCCCCAAGCCGCCAGTCATTCTCCAGGGGGCACCGGCAGCTCCCAGCCCTTACAAGAGCCAGGGAAATTCCTCCCGCAGCAGGAAGCGCACGAGAATAAGGGAGCAGCAGCGCGGATCTCGGCCTCCCCCAATCAAAAGCGGGTGCTCCTGCAGGAAGATTGGACTTTGCTGTGCCTCGCTTGCAACGAGGCGTTTGAGACGAAGGGCGAGCTGAAGGCCCACAAGTGTTTCAAAGAGGCGGCAGGCCAAGATGACCCAGACGATCCAGAAGGGCCCAAGCAGCACCAGTGCGGCGTGTGCCACAAGAACTTTGCCCGCCCGTGGTCGTTGTCGCGGCACTACGTGGTCCATACCGGTGAGAAGCCCTTCTCTTGCCCTGAGTGTGGCATGGCCTTCCGCCTCGCCTCCTACCTCAGGCAGCACAGCCGGATGCACGCGGTCAGTGGGGACTGCCCTCTGCTCGGTCAGGCCGACCCCCAGGAAGCAGAAGCGGCGCCCCCCGTGGTCCCTTCCTCTCCCCCGGGGCCGCCCCCCAAGAAGGCCTACGAATGCAGCGTGTGCTGTAAACCCTTCAAGAGCAAATACGACCTGGCCACGCACTTCCTCATCCACACGGGCGCCCTGCCTTTTCAATGCGGCCGCTGCGGGAAACGCTTCCGCCGCCTCTCCCACCTCAAGCAGCACGATGTGACCCACACGGCCGCCCGCCCCTTCCAGTGCGTCATGTGCCAGAAAGAGTTCAAGCGCCTGGCTGACTTGGCTCGCCACCGGCAAGTCCACGAGGGAGACAAGCCACACCAGTGCGGGGTCTGCCACAAGTTTTTCTCCCGCTCCTACAGCCTCCTGAGACACCAGCGAGGCCACTTGCCAGAAATGGCCGCCGTCACCCGTCCCGAAGACTACCTCAGCAGTTCCTGCTTCGACAGCCAGGATCACTCGGCCTTCCTGACCCACCAGGAGGGGGAGGATGAAGATGAGGGGGAGGACGGGGTGGGAAGCTCCACGTAGCTTGTGACGGGGCCAGGAACTGGGGCATGGTGCGAGGTGGCCGCCTCAACTTGGCAGAAGGAAGGCGGCAAGAAACTGACAAGGCCAACCAAGCGAACGGATGATTCCGGACAAACAGCACCCCATCTGGGGATTGCCGTGCGTGTCAGTTACAGGGAAATAAATACGTGTAATTGCAGATTGACTCTGTAGATAAGACAGATGCAGTGCCCCCGATGGAATTGCAAATACCTGAACAAAACAATTTGGGATCTATTGCACTGCGTAAAAATGAAAACACAAGCTGACAGAGCACTATCCGACTTCAACTCAGCTCCATGATGACTGTCAGGCTATGGCGGAGACGCGCCTGCTTCAAGTGCCGCTTTAGAGGGCAAGGGGGTTAAAGCATCGGTGGTGTTTTGCAGGGTTAAAGTATTGGACTGTGATCTGGGAGGCCCAGGTTTGAATTCCCCCCTTGTTGTGGAAGCCCACTGGCTGACTGGGGGGGGGGGGGGAGCTAGTCTTTCTCTCTCCCCTACCCCACACGGTCGTTGTTAGGATAAGATGATACTGAGAATGATATTGTGAGGGCGCTTTAGATCTCCACTACGGAACGATCAGGGTCAATGTTCCCTCTAAGCTGTGGAGTCTTGTGAGCAGAAATTCTACTTTGTGAGCTGCTGGCATTAAAGTTGTGAGCAAACGATTTGGCCACTGCATAAATTAGTTTGTTCTGGAGCCCTCCTTCCTGAGCTAAGGCAAAAATGTGTGAGCCAGAGGCTAAAAAACTGTGAGCTAGCTCACACTAACTCAGCTTAGAGGGAACACTGATCAGGGTATCCATTTCCAACTAAATAAACTGATGGATTTGGAGCAGATTGATGGTGTTGTTCTAAGTACAGTTTCTTCCCTTTAAGTCCACCAAAGTCATTGAAGGTTAGAAACCGTTCATGTGGGTTGTTGCTGTATGATTGGGATTGTGTTTGGACTTTATGGTGGGTTCCTGTCCTATTTTAAAATTGCAGTTTTCCATCTACAGATTATGGTGACGTAGGGCCCTGACAGTGTGAAAGGTTAGAAAAAGAGTCCCCAACGTGGTGCCCCCCCACACACACCTTTCCTGGTATTTTTAGGAAGTGGGTGGGGCCAGGTGGGGTTTTTGCCCAGCAAGGCTTCCCATTGAGCACTGGAGATCTGATTGGCTGTGCAGATTTCAAAAAACTGGGCTTTGGCAGTAGCTGCCCACATAGCGCCAGGATTTGCCCTGTTGGACTGTAGGTGAGCCTCCTCAGCAGCCACATTGTGGCTGGTTCCCCCTCCTGCGGCAGCCATTTTGTGACTGTACCGATCACACTGTCAAAATTCCAAAGGTGACCCCAGGCTCAAAAAGGTTGGGGACCCCTTAATTAGAAGAACTTTAAGGGGGGATTGTGGAGCAGCAGTCCCCCACATAAGGATGCCAGCCTCCAGGTGGGACCTGGGGATCCCCCGGAATTACAGCTCCTCTCCAGACTACAGAGATCAGCTCCCCTGGAGAAAATGGATGCTTTGGCGGGGGGGACTCTGTGGCCTTGTACCCCACTGAGATCCCTGTCCTCCTCAGGCTCCATCCCCAAATCTCCAGGAATTTCCCAACCTGGAGCTGGCAACCCTAACCCCCACCTCATACCTTGGAGGCATTCCAGTTGTTTCCAAGGGGTGCTTTTTATCTGAACTCTTTTGTGGGGAGCACTCCCCCACAATAAAGGAACATGGTTGCTGCCAAAATAACGGAGAAAGTAGCCCTACAAGGTGCCAGTACTAATGCAGGATTTGCTTCTTCTCTTTCTTTGCCTCTATAGCTGGTGCTGATTTTAGTCAGGGAATCCCCCGGTCCACACTCAGACTATCTTGTCAACTGGAGACAAGGCCAGCGCAATGTAGTGGTTGGACTAGAATCGGAGAAAACAGAGTTCCCTGCCCAGCCATAAAGC